AAGCCACTGGCCAATTTAAGGTGTTCGTTCAATCTAACAATATGTAATTGTTCTTGTTTCAGTGTAAAGTTGAGCCTGACTGACCTAGCCTGATTCCTTCATATTAAGAAGTCAGAATGTCCAGTGAAAAAACACTTCTGGCTGAAGATGGTATTTGATCCCTCCCAGATCTGCTAAACTAACTTACTGTGCCCCGTTCTGCACTGGCCTTATAACATCTCATATTCAGTACACTGAAACTAAAAACAATTTTATCTGTTTATTGCTAATTGTTAACTGTTCATTCCATTTCATTGTCCAATTGCACACTCTTTCCATCTAATCAATTTTTTTAAACTATATTTTACGTCTAATTTTGTCTTATGTCTTGACTTTGATGTCTATATTTTATTGTCTTATTTCTCAATAAGTTTATATGTCATATCTTTGCATTTTATTTTGAATTATGACCAAGAGACACAAAATTTCATCTCAGTGTAGCACTCATGCATCATAAAGCGGAAGCAACAATAAAGATGATATGAATTAGGTATATTAACTTGATCCAACTTGAATGCATTTTGTGGTACCTATGGACTAGCAGAGAGCCTGATTAAGTGACGGTAAGAATTTCTTTCTGTTGCAGGTAACCGATGCACTGTGTTTCATCAGTACATTTTTGTCTGCATAAAATACGTGTTCTTTTGATTGTAATATAAGTGCTTCCTTTTCCCGAGGAGCCATACATAAAATTCAACACAAGAGGGCAGCAGAGTCCACTTAATGCAACACAACACAAGCAGCTGGTGAAATGACTTCCGTAAGAAAACGTATTGAATAAAAATTTAATTTTAAAAGGTTACAAGAATCTATTGTTTATTTGAAATAATGTTCACATATTTTAGATTAACACACATGCTATTATTATTATTATTTTTTTTTTTTTTTTTTTATTTTGCAAATATTCAATACATAGCTTAGCAACATTTAAAAATGATGACACAAGTGGCCAGTACTACGAAGCGGGGTTACTGGCTTATCAGGGTAACTTGTCAGATTTAAGGTACCACAGTTTAAATGGACTTCATATTCGTTCACTTACATTTTGCCCAGACTACCTTAAATCTGACAAGTTACCCCGATAAGCCAGTAACCCCGCTTCGTAGTACAGGCCCCAGGCCCCAGATGTGCGCGACGTCAAAGCACCATGGGTAAACAACGTGTCTTGCCGGTATCCACCAGTTCTGCTCATGGTCAGAGTTTCCAGGACTGAAAGATTTTATGAACCCCTATTGTTTTTGAACCGACCATTGTTTTTTTAATCAAAGCCACTGATTTGGCGGGGGAAGGTAAAGCAGCAAGCCCAGTTTTGCCAGGCCAGGCTTGTACTTTGGAGGGCGGGGGTGGGGGGCACACTCTGAAGTACTGAGCCATCATAATTTATGACTGAGATGTAATGATTTATGGCTTGCTCGCAAAACAGAGAGACTGTAGGGCTGATATCCTCCCTTTGCGTTGCTGGATTCCTCCGTTATCCTAGTGTGGGAATAATTAGAATGATGGGGGATATTAAATTTATTTGTTTGCCTGCAATTTGACAGCCTAATGGTTAGCAGGTGGGGCGAGTCTGTATGAAGTCTAGAGTGTGCATGGGAGGGACTGGACCAGGCCTGTGGTTAATTGCCAGCTAAGGTACATTGCTGACTACTCCCCCCCCATTCTGGCAGGAAGACCCACTCCATGGCCGTCTTTGCATTTTGCCTTTCCAGCTTTCCGCTGGAAACCCTGATAGCGAAACCATTCCATCCTTTTTTTCTGCAGCCTCAGATTTCCAGCTGAGCTCTGGATCAGCGCTTCGTCTTGCAGGGTTGCGATTCTTCTGCACTCCTTCAATATATCTGGCACAAAAGAAGCGTGAACTCATCTGTTATCTTCAGGAATGCCTGCCCTTATGGCAAACATGTTATTTTTAAAATATGAGTTGCTAAGAGACAGCAACTGCCTGTGTGGAACTGACACCTTCTCAGGTCGTATGTAATGGGGTTTGTAGCTGAAAGAAAACCTTAGAATCACAGCTTTTTAAGAATAACTTTATTAATGAAATATGCAGCTAAATGGCTGTGTGCTCGACGCATACAAGCAAAGCTTTTTGGGGGGGGGGCTGGCTCTCTGACAGTCCTACAGCTTGGAACTCACTACACCATATTCCTGCTTTGCTCTAACAAGGCCCCCCTATGGCTAGAAAATTAGCATCACTCTTTGGATTTGATACATCTCAGTATGAAATGTGTTCAATGTGGGGGTCCGAATCGCCCCCGGGGCCTATGAAGCAGTTTCAGGAGGTCCATTAATTGACAAAATTTACAACCACCTAGTTTACAACATGAACACTTTAATATGAGGACCCCCCCGCCCCCGAAGCAACAAATCTCAGCGCCCCTCCTGGTTCTTAGTTCTTATTTACTTTTAAAGTCACGTATTAGTGGTGGGGGTCTGTCGCTCTGGCCTGCTTTCCCTTGGCCGTCACTGATTTAATAAAGCTTGACAAACCCTGTGTTAGATCTTAGCAGGACCCAAGTCAACTTTCCTCATCTTCTAGTTGGATTCACCCTGGGCTTGCAGCACCTTCCAGCTAGACTGCCATACAACCCCCCCCCCCCCCCCCCCCCCCCCCCCGCCACTTTGTATTTGGCTATTGGCGCTGTGGTGGATCTAGGCACAGTTACAATGAGCAGTGCAAATCTACAACATCAAGCCTTTTAATGCCCAAGAACTTCACTTCCCAACCTGAGTCACGTGAGTGAGGATATCTCACATCTTCCTATGGAACACACTAATAAGAAAAACAATCATTTCTATACAGTTATGCATGGCAAACACATCATTCTCAAAGGCAGAATTTCATGACAGGAATTTGGCAACAGTCACTAAGATACTTTACGCTACATGAGGATATCTCAGAAGAATTCTGTAAAGGGTATATAAAGATAAAGGACAGAGATCTTGGTCATTCCTGCTTTACTATTTACCCCCCACACCATGGATTGGAGTTTACAGGGATCTTTTGTATATTTCAGGAGGAAAATAATGATATCAACAAATGTTGGCCTCACTTGCCTGGGATCCTGCTTGGGAACGAAAAAGTACAGACTCAGTTAAACATTTTAGCACCAGCTGCATGAAATAAACAGCAAAGTCTCTTCTCTGAGCTGGAATCCAGTGTTTCACTAAGGTTACGGTCAGCTGCTCTGTGTTTGAAAAGCCATCTGGATAGCATCTAACTATAGGGACAGACTGCACAGGTGCTGAAGATGTTAGTTCTGCTGTATATGTCTTGCTTTTTAGCCATGTAGCACAAAAAAAAACGTTTTTTTTTTTTAAATTAATCTTGGCAATGAACTGTAAATGTTTCCGAAGATCATTGTGTGCACAAATGAACCTTCCAATTCGATGACTCTTTTCCAGTTGCCATGACAGCAAGTAAACAATGATGGCTGTAGACTAAAACCAGCTTTCATGCAATCTTAACCTTCGCTCTTAAAAACGGAACATTTCCAGTTGTATTAACTCGGCAAGAAACCACATGAATGATCCTGTATATGTGTGGGGGAATGTTCTGTGGACAAATGTGTCTAAGACTGACCTCTTAGGTCACAATTGCAAACAATAGAAACTGATTTTCAATGGTGGGGGTGACATGGTCTGAAGCTGTGTTTCTATCTTCTGGTCTGGATTACTCACCATCCCCATGGAAGTCATGAGTCATAATAATTCTGGAGGAGAAAATGGCCCCCCAGCCCCCCCGCCCCCCCACCCCCCCCCCCCTCCCCGTGAGTAGAAGTTGAGCTGAGAAAATGCATTGCTTCATATCCCCTACTATTCTAGGAAATCTGCCCATATCAGAGGGTGTATTAAGAGGGAGAGAGCTGACGCTCAATGAAGATGAGCTGCTGAGACATTTCAGTAAGCTGCTGTTCTTTTTCCTATGTCACACTGGAGATGGACATCAGCTGCATCCAGGAAAGGCTACAGATTCTTGGATTGGGTCTTGGGGTTGTTCTGGATATCTTGTATGTCTTTATCGTCTTGCTCTGTGAGATCATTCCCTAGGAGGGTGATTGTGGCCTTACATATTCTGTATGTATGTATTATTTGCTTTGAGGACTGTTGACTTACACAGAGTTTTGGAGTGGTTTTAAGTCCAGTGCAATTACAGCCATCTTCTTGAGGACTTCCATGGTCTCTTCAGGTCATGGCATGTTGTGACATCAAAACGGAGGACATATTCGTGGTTTGGATGACATCATGGTTACCTTCTTAAAATCTTCTAGTCTTTAATTAAGTTAGTGCTAAATAACTCGGCACTTCACTCATTCTACTATGTACACATTCTAAACTATTTTTATTCTACAAAATGCAATCGTTTTCATTTCCATTCAGCAGCGGGGTTACAATTTATGTGTGTTCCCTGGGATTTTAACCTATGGACAATGACGCAATGCTCCACTTATTGAGCTACGGGAGCCTCTCAACCATACAACACAACACAAATAATTTGCTTTAGAATGATACAACTGGTTTTGATTAAAGAAGGATTTCTTGTAAGAATGAATAGAATGACATGACTGTTTTGGGCAAACTTTCAAGTCATGCAATTAAACTAGAGCAGGGGTGAGTAATCATATCCGGAAAAGGCCGCTGTGTATGCAGGCTTTCACTGCAACTCCTAAATTAGATTTCTAATTAGATGACTGATTGACTGAAGAGTCCCCACACCTGGGTTTGAACAGCTGACCTAAAGGTTATCCCAGATGCTTGCATACACACCAGCCCTTTGTGGATAAGATTGCCCATCCTGAACTAGAGGGCCAAGCAGCTATATTACATTCCTGGGTGGTATAGCACATGAATCTATTACCTTTGAGTGTTTTCAGTGCATTACAGTGTGAATGTCAAAATTCCATGATGAACTGAAAGTATTTAAGCTTAATACTTATGAATATAAAATGGAAGTCAGAACATATTTTTTCTTAATAATCTTTACTCATAAAGAACTTTCCATGCCAGTTCACTGTCTTTTCGGCGACATTCAATTTTGACAGTGCAATGAGGAGAACAATGATTGAAGAGGATGTCCAAAGGCTTTATGCTGCTCTGCGGTTTCCAAGCACAGAACATGTGGACCTTGCTGGTTAGCTAAGTATTAAATACAATGCCTTATCTATCCATGCCAATCACCACGTGCCAGAGGGCAAACAAAAGATCCGGAATGTTAGGCCAAAATCAGCAACCCGACATTCAGCGCTTCTGTCTGAACACGTCCAGCATAAAAGCAACATTTAAACAGATTTGGTTCCAAAATCCTGACGCAAAATATGGCACAATAAGCAATTAGGATAAAATCTGCCAAAATGTATTTTAAAATCCAGATGTTACCATTCAATTCTAACAGAGTAAAAGACAATAAGATTACTAGACACTTCAGTCCTCACTAATAACATGAGAAAAAAAACTTTAAAATAAACAAAAAAGTTACAATCATACAGGACGTCCATAAAGTCTCTTTACAATTTCAAAAATGTATTACAAAGGCAATTGATGAAATATCTTCATCAGATTTGTTCTATGTACTCAGTGGCTATCAAAGTTTTTAAATCACATTGCAAACAATGGTGCGGGACGTCACTAATCTAAAACAGAGGATCACTGATCCCAGTGCCACCACTGATGAGGGTTTGCTACAGCGAACATGGCAAGGAATCGAGTACCGTCTTGATGTGCTTCGTGCAACTAATGGTGCCCATATAGAGGTGTATTAAATGAGGCAAAAAAATTTTGTCATTTTGTTCCCGTAGCTGTCTTTTTATATGCCTTTGTAATACATTTTTGAAATTGTAAAGATACTTTATGGACAGCCTGTATATTTCTTGAGGAGATGAGAATATATACGTATCAGAGAGTTTTCAACATTTACTAACATTGTATCAGTAATCACCTTAAATCAGTCAGAATAACTTCAACTTGTGTATAAAGTTGTGAAAAATCCCATTCATTGAGATTTACAAGGATTATTTTGTTATAGCCATGTTCTTAAATAACTTTCATTATAGATAACTTTACATTTTATTTCATGAGGCACCAACTAATATGTTACCGTATAACACAGAAGAGCACAGATTTTGGCCCCTGTAGGCATTACATGGGAGAGTTTAAAGACAAAGTGCAGGAAGATGGTTTTTACATCTGGGTGAGAATAACAAACACTCAGATCTAAAGGATTGTTTCGTCTTTCTGGACATTTAAAATAAAGAAAAGTGTCAGAAAGTCGGGACATGTTATTAATCAGTAGGAGTCAGTGGATTGGAAAGGAACTGAGCGCAGAGATGGATGCACATCTTAAAGGTGCATTCTGGGAAGTTGGAAAGCTTGAAGGGGATGATCCTTTAAATGAAAGATAACCTTCGAATGGATCCTGATCCATTGCCACTTCCTGGTAGAGGGAACGTCAATTGAGAGAAAAATCTGGGGGTTAATACTGAGCTCATACTTCCAAGCTAGTTGCTACAACAACCAAATCTCTACCCTAAAACCCATTTACTTACATTTTATTTAATATAAAATGTGCCCATATGCGTGTGTTTGTGTCAGTCTTCAACAAATATGAAATGCAGCCCAGCAATGTTGCTTAAATATTTGTCATACAGAAACCAACCATAATTTATTAACCTAATCCTCAAGGCATGAAGTAGAAACTGATAAATTATTTTGCATAAATAATAAAATAACACATTATTTTTCTCAGACAGGCCAGATGGATTGCTACAAGGGCAGTCACAGAATTTGGAGAACTTTGGAGCAGTCATAACGAGAGATTATTGCGTGACCCCAAAGATGTTCTGGCAAAGCATTTGACACCTCTAGACTGGGCAAGACCTTGGCCAGTCTGGGTTCAGCAGGAATGGGGAAGTGGTGTTGGGCAGTGGAAAAAAACATGTTGTGAAACTCTTTCACGGGCGGGTATGCACTGCCTGGTGCAGTGGTTAGCACTGTTGCCTCACACCTCCCCGATCCCGGGTTTGAGTATCCGCCATGGTTCCATGTGTGTGGGATTTGCATGTTTTTCTGTGTCCTCCCCACAGTCAAAAATAGACTGAAGTTAACTGCAGTTACCAAAATGCCTGTAGTATTACATGAGTGAGTGAACATTGTGTGAGTGCGTGAGTGTGGCCTGCGACAGGTTGCCACATCCTGTGTTGTTCCCTGCCTTGTGCCCAAAGCCTCTGGAATTCGCTTCAGACCCCCTGTGATCCTGAATAAGACAAGCAGCTACAGAAAATGGATGGATATGCACTCCCACCAGAAGGTAGTGCAGGAAACGTCTGGTAAATGAGAATCTGTCAGTGCTTTGGATGCTATGCCCAATGTCTCTATTGCTATGATGGGCAGAAGCCAGGACTTCCTTCACAGAAAGCGTGGGAGGTGCTGCCTTTCGGTCCCTGTACGAATGGAGCAAGAGTCGTGTCCACATGCTTGGAACAAAGCTGAAGTTGTTTAGGATGGGTGTTAGCTTTTGGCGGTGATGCATGTTGTCTCTGCTCCTGTTTCTGATTTCCATGGGCAGAATATCAGGGCTGAGCTGTGGCTGGGGGGCCGTCCCATGGAGGTGAAACCCCTGCTATTTGCAGATGGTGGTGTTTTCTGGCCTCATCTGACCTGTTCCACAAGCATGCATGTGAACAGTTGGACAGGGAATATTCATCAGCACCTCTAAATGAGAGCTGGGGGGGGGGGGTAGCCTGCCCTTAGCGAAGGAGTTTAAGTCTTGACAATAAGTGATAATATGAGTCTGACAGTCAATCAGCTCAGAACCTGTAGTTTTATTGGTTCTGAGTAGGTCTGTGATGATAACGTGGTAAAGAGCTCATCTGAGCGAGCGGGCAGGTTGTGTATAGCTTAATCAGCATCCCTGTCCTCAGATAGGGTCATGAGCTGTGGGGCATGGACCAAACACAAGGTTGCACACTTAAATGGTCCCCCAAAATGAGTGAACTTCTGTGACCTTGGAAAGGTCTAGCCTGGCATGCTTGGGCTGCTGTGACAGGAGCAGCAGTATGTGATGATGATGCCAATGTGACATCTCAAACATTTCCAGTGAATTATCTTCAGATATATATATAAATTGACTATCTGTGTGGATTAGGTTTATATTACTTTGTGGGGACCAAATGTCCCCCCCCAGAATGTAATCAAAATCAGTTTTCTTGACATTGTGGGGACCATTTTTCAGGTCCCCACAAAGTTCTGTGACTGCAATAAGAAAAGTAAAAATGGCAAAAGTGTTGTTTTTTGTTTGATTACTTATGGTTAAAGTTAGGGCTTGGTAGGGGGTAATGTTGTTATGTTGTGATTAGCATTTATCCAAAAGAAATGAATGGAGAGTCCCCACAAAGATATAATTACAAACCTGTGTGTGTGTGTGTTTGCATGGATCACATTTTGGAACTAAAATGTCCCCAAAGTGTGGTAAAACCTGAAAGTTCCTTATTTGGATATTATAAAATTTTATAAAAATCTGTGAATGCAAAAAAAAAATAAATTCAAAAAGTCTTGTATTTTATTTGTGTGTGTGTATATATATATATATACATATATATATATAGATAGAGAGAGAGAGAGAGAGAGAGTGTAAGCAATGTGCAGCCAGTGTAGCCAATCCCACATTGGGTTATTTTTTCCAGCTTATTTTCAAACATCTCACTCCACAAAACCCGTGTGTCAGTTTCGATGAAACAGTGGGAATAAACACCACGTCACAAAATCAGCTATGACCATAAATTACGCTTGAAAGTTCCATGTAGGTGTCAAAATAATGTTTCACACGAGGAGTTCAGCCATGGGACTGTTTCAGAGCCAGAGATTCTGTTGTTGCTGTGGACTAGCAGAGATAAAAGCATAGAAAAGACAAATGTGCTGTTGAATAAGCAAGAATTTGAATCTTCGGTGGCAAACCTTTACTACTTCACAAACAAGTAACTATGTGGAACACAGCCTGAAGCATGATAGCAAGTCAACAGAGCACTGAGCTAGAAACCCAGTAGGTTTAAATAGAAGCAGCTGGGGAGGCAGGATCATACTCAGGCTCCGTTCAGCAGAAGGTCTGACCAACTCTAGGGTTAACCTGAAGTGGAATCATACTAAAGTCCCTTTCAGACATGCACCAGCTGATCCTTTCTAGACATTACCCAGAGGGGTTGTATGTGTGAATGTAAATGTCCGAATCAGTCGTATGGACGTTAAACGGACGTGAAGATTCCAGATCATTCCATGACCCCCATGTGTGAATGGAGCAGGAGAATTCCAGAGAATTCAACACGAACCAGTGGGCACGTTGGTGATATTTCTATCACGTGAATGCCGCAAAAAAGGAAGAGTACAAATATTTGGGGGTGAAAACTGGCTAACTGGAGAGACGACGAGATTCGGAAACTTCTGCTAGTAGTGCTGTAAACAAAACATTGATTTACACAGCATACTTCTTGCGTCATGCTCTACCCAAGGGTCACCCCTCGTCTAAACCAGCCAGAGTAATTCTAGTAGGTGTGAACGCTCGTATACGGAAAATCTCCGGTTGTGTGCCACGTGTGAAAGGGCAGCTCTGGAAAATGTCCGGACCTGATTCTCTGGACAATGTCTGGAGTTCATATGTATAAACGGCTTAAAGTTCTCAGGGAAAGAGAGGAGATTCTGCCCAACAGTCAAACCTAGATTGCTAGAATATGGAATTGCTGGTCTGTTACTGCTGATGACCCTATTCTCTAGATCTCATCATAACAGGTCCTTTAACATAGGAGGCTTCAGCCCCCAGTCCATGGCCAGTAATTGGGGCAGCGTGTGGCTCAGTGGGCTAAGCCTGCGTGTTTGTAATCACAAGGTCGCCGGTTCAGCCTCAGCATGTCTGTGGGTCCTTGAGCAAGGCCCTTAACCCCCAGTTCCCTGGGTGCCCCAACAGGTGGCTGCCCTTCACAGACAGCTTGTTCTACAAAGAGCAAGTTGATGGAGGCATAAAAAGAATTTCCCCATGAGGGACAATAAAGGTTAAATTAATTCACCAGGCCACCAAAAGAACACTGGGGATTCTGCAGAGGTGTTTGCTGTTTTCCAAAAATAAACTACATATTTTCAAGTTTTAATGATCTCATGTTTCCACATTCTGTTTACATCTGAAGAATGGAAATGGTTAAAGTTCTGAAAAAAGGGTCAATTAAAAGACATCAAAAGGTTGGGATCCCCTACCCTAACGTGCACTTCAGCGGATCGATACAGAGTGCAAAGCAGCAGTGGAGAGAACCTGCAGGCAGACCCAGTATTTGCTGTGATTGTATCTTCCAACTCGTTTGGAAAAGTCTAGATAATCTCTTAGAATAACATGGAGTTTGTGGCATTGGACACAGAGGTTCAGTCTGACCTGTTTGTCACGTAGCCACCACAACACTCACCAGGAGAAGCGATACAAAGGTGATGTCATTATCACGCTCTGAACAATATCATATATCAATGTTCTTATAAGTCATATAAACTTGTCATTATTAAAAGAGAGGAATTAACAATTAATTACACTGGTCAACAAAGTTTTACTTTCTTTTTCTCACACAAATCGAAATAGGTGAATCTTACAGTATTTTTTGTGCTGAATTGAAATATCTAATCATAATTTCCCTATCATGCAAGGATTTTGAGTGACACAGAATTAAACTTTATGCAATGCGTATATTTGCAGTATATGGGTATGGTGGAAGTGACTCATCTAAAAGGTAGAAGTGTATGATTTTCTGTTGTACTTGGTCTCTTTTAAAGGTCCAGCAGAAGTCAGCAATCGTCCCCTTAGTTGTCCAGTGACAAAATCTTTGTTGACCAGTATCATTTAATAATCATACATCATGCAATTTAGTTTTAGTGCATGTAGTTCGAAACTTAGCTATGGAGTTTTGTGGAAAAATACAAAGGGCTTTCATCCACACACACGCTGATCATTCACATGCTTGTCCTTTTTTCGCTTCTGCTGAACTATTCAGCTACTTGGATTTCTGACAGAGAGATTAATTTCTCCATTTGAGCCAGATGAGTACCGGAGAGATTTATCACTGATCGAAAACCAGCGGTTTTAAGCTGCTTTTATTACTCTCATAAGATCTGATCTCATTTCTCAGTGTCATGTGATGATGTTAAAGGAGCTACAACGTTTACAAATGTGCAGGAAAGTGGGCTCAGATCTTACTCGCTGAAGAGTTGTTAGGGACCATTCGCCTCTGTGCACCGGATACCTGGAAGGGAAGAGAGATTCAGGGGTGAATAGTGCTCCTGATTCCTACATGGGCGACCTGGCCTGTCCTATAGCAGCTTGGTTGGTCTTCAGGGATGCCCATCCTCCTACACAAATCACTTCCACCTGATTATTCTCTACTGGCTCAGCACCAAAGTCGAGTTCTAGAGCCTCCTTCTGCCATATCAATAACCCTAAGGCAGGGGTAAGTGACTCTGATCCTGAAGTGCTGGTATCCAGCAGGTTTTCTATCCTACCTGATGAGTTACTATCTGGTGATGAGTTAGATCAGGTGTGATTCATCAGAGACCAGGTCGATTAGAAAACCTACTGGATATCGGCACTCCAGGATCTGGGCTGTCCCCCCCTGCCCTAAGCTTTCAAAGAGATCATTTTACTGCTTTAACACTAAAAAAATCAACACTATCTACAAATATTCAGCCTTTGGTTGTATCCCATTTGCTGAGGAATATATAATATAGACAATAATATATGATCAAATATGGCTATGTATGGTATTAAACATCTTATCAAATCTGGGTATTTTGTGACCCGTGAACAACGTTTTCCATTCACCTTCTTCCTTGACTTCTCTGACCCTTCCGCCATACTAAGGGCAGCTATCCTGTTCTCTATGTCGGAGACCTGTGGAGACACATGTGAGGCGTTAGTGCCGCCTGGAGGGGAGCTGGAGCCACGCCGGCGTGACCCCGCTCTGCAGGCCCCGGAGGAGGCCCCGAGCTCTGCGCAGCTACCTCGCTCTCAGTGTTCTGCACCCTGGCGGCGGCCAGAGCCACTTTGTCCTCCAGCTCGGACAGCTCAGAGTCGGTGTACCCGCAGTAGCGGCTCTTTGCACTTTGCTCCAGGGACTTCAGCTTCCTCTCCAGGTCGTAGGATTTGCCTGTTGTCAGGTAGACCTGCAGGACGGCGGATAGCAGGAAGGCTACGGCACTCCAACCCGGAAGATCTGCTCATGCAGCATGAGAGTACTCAAAGCTAACACTCTGGCTTGGTAGGATACTATCACGCAAGGAAGTTTACTGTAGGTCTCTTACATACAACTTAACATGTTAGAGGTATGATCGACATATTTTAGCCCTTGCAATGCTGCCTTGACAGAGATGGGTACAGTTAAGCTTACATTTTCCTCAAGTGCTCTGTAAGCCTCATCAGCTTGCCTTACATCTGTCCCCATTAAGTGGTATGTGTCATTAGGGTTTGACGGAGCCAATTCGGTCAGCGCTCTCTCAGTGGCATTTATGGTTCTTAGAACCACAGTAGTGATGTCACAGAGGGCTGCCGCACTGGATCTCTGAAAGCCATGTAAAGGGAACAGGAGTCAGTGGACCTGAAGGCCACCGAATGGGAACACAGGTTAGTCAGCCAGAGCACTATGTTAGTCAGGAAGGGTGAGCATCTATGGGTTACAGTGCAGCAGCGATGACAATGCATGACCTTGGTCCTTATGGCCGTGAGCTTAGGAGGGTAGACTTGAGCACTGTGGTAACACCTTTCTTAAGGCCATGTTTTTAGCGATTTATAAATACATTCATAACAAATAATGATACATTTATAAAGCATTATAAACATGGCTATAAATATTTATCAAAAGCCATAACACCTTATAACCATGTTCATCATGCATTATGAATACTTCCTCATCTATAATGCACTATAGACACCTTTATAATGCATTATAATGGTTGATATAAGCATTAAGGATGCTTTGTACTGCATTATAAAGGTATCTATAGCACATTATAGATGAGAGCTTCATAAAGCAGTCATAATGCATTATAAACATGGCTATAATGTGTTATGCCTTTTTATAAATATTTATAGCCATGTTTATAATGCTTTATGAATGCATTATAATGCATTATGAATGTGTTTATAAAGTACTAAAAACATGGCCGTACGTAAAATATTACCGGGGCTGTTAGTAAGTATGGAATAGAGTAGGACACTTGGGTCTGGATCAGGTGACTGTGACTAATTGTTTGGTAGCATTTGGACTGTTGGTTAGTGCGGAGGAACTGTTGGACCACCAGGCTGCTAATCTTGGGGTAGTGTAACGTAGTGGTTAGAGCAGCCGACGCTGGCCCTACACTCTGTCAGCCACAGCAAAGCAGCGGTTACGACCCTGAAGTCTGCATCTTCTCCTCCTGTCAGAAAAGCGGTTAGAGCAACCATACAGCCAGGATATAAGTCATCATCTTGTGAATTTATTTTAGTTTATTTTAAGTGACGTCCTTTCTAACACAATAGGTCCAAAGTGGAAACAAGTGAAGGATTAGAAACATACAGAGGGACGAATGTCATAAACAATAACAGAAAAAACTGGGATGACAAAGATAAACAGAAGGTCCTCCAAACGTTCAAGACTAACTGGCCACAGCACCCCTCCACTGCATGTAAGCAAGTAGTATGTGTGGAACTGTTGATATTACCAGTATTTATTTAAAAATAATTACCTACATGTATACATACTTGTATTATTCTATGCGTTCAAAGTTTAATTACCGCAAACTCTCAAAATGAGTACAAAAGCGATATCAAAAATCTAAAGAACAATTAGCTATCTCATGAACAATTAGGAAGTAATTATTTCCATCAGGTTAGTCTCAGAATCACATATATCCTAGGTTAACCCTTAGGGTGACTGGGTTTCACAAGAGATCAAAGGGCCCAGAGTTTGGAGATAGATGGGATATAGTTTTCCCCATATTGGCAAATTGTGATTTTTATTGTATAGTGTTTTATCTCAATATGCAGATATACTGTATTAGTACCATCAACATGAGTGTGTGGAGTCAATGCATGGTGTTAGTTTAAGGTGCTGAGTGTGTCTGGATGTTGTAGGTAGTTTGTACATTATTCCTGTTGCTAATGAGTTGGTTTGTGTGTGACTTAATCTGCATGGACTCGCTATGCCTCGTGGGTTTTCTGTAGAGTCTTTCTGTATGGCACTTGTGTTACTGTGGCTGATGGCATGCTCCTTCTCACCTTTTGAGCGTCTGAGAGCTGCTCTTCACTTGAGGAGCTCATTACCCTCTCCATGGCGATGGGGCCCCCCAGGGCTGGCTCTCCCTGCACCCTGTCTTTCCTCTGGGTCTCCTTGGGGGTTGGGGGCACTTTGGCCTCATCCTCCTCTGAGGAAAGGCCCTTGTCACTGATATTTCCCGTCAGCTCCTGTAACTTCCTGCTCAGCTTCACTTCTTCCAGGTCCACTGCAGAGTGAGAGTCCAGCTGGAGAGAAAGCAGGTCAGTCCAATGACAGGGTAGCTGACAGAGAGTCAAAGTACACAGTAACCACACAGCATGAGAGGTGGGTCTGTCGAGACCGAGAAAAGCAGTGTCTAGTCTCCCTGAATGCTCTCCCACCTGCTGAGGAGGTTCGACCATCTTCTGCTCCAGACGACTCAAGAGGCTTTCAATGGCTTCCATGCGCTTGGTCAGCTCAGTCATCTATAAAGTAGCCATCAATAGGGCGGGGGTTATGGATTATGAGGGGGCGGTCTCAGACTTAATACTGAACTCACACAAAGAACAGTACTTTTGGGATGACCTTGAAGCCTTTTGATTGGCTGACAGTCTGGATGCCTCACAGGTATGACACACCCTGGGCCTCTGCACACTGAAACACACACACGCACGCACCGGCGGAGCACTCTGGTGTACATTCTCCTGGGATGAGGCGCGGCTACGTCGCCGTGGGGGCAGCTGGAACATGGGGAAGCGCTCGCTTCCCTCTTCCTCTGAGGTGTCCGGCTCGCAGTGAGGGTAGCGCTGGAACGTCCCAATCTTGGACAGGGAGCGGGTACGCATCATCCGATGGTCTGGGAAATGGCTCTCATCTGGAACAGGTGGATATAAGCAACATGTTACTCCTAATACCCGATTTTAGTACAAAATAAAACTGACGAAGAGTAATCAGACAAGTAATATTGATCGGCTTCAACACTGGATTATTCAGTGTCTGAAGATTTCAGGACTTTCTAACTACTAACTGGTCTGATTACTGCACACACTTTAAATAATATGCAAAACATATCGTGCCAGGAGTGACCAGTCTTTTCCGGAAAGGGCCGCTGTGTATGCAGGTTTTCACTGCAACTCACTAATTAGATTACAAATTAGAGGACTGATTGGCTGAAGAGTTCTCTGGGTTTGAACAGATGACCTAAAAGATAGGCCAAAAACTTGCATGCAGACTGTTCCTTTGCGGATAAGATTGGCCACCCCTGTATTATGCCATATGCAATAAATTATAATCCCACTAATTTACAAACAATGCAATAATGACATAACAGCCGATGGGATAAAATGAAAACAATGCCAGGAAAATAGCTCATTTAAAAATCAAAATCAGTCTATTGGAGGTCCTGTGTTTGGCCCAGTCGATGCTTTATGAAGGTATTGTGTGACATATTTTGAACAGCAATCTTTCATTTGATTCCCATATCCCATATCCTGCATGATGAATAATATCCTTCTTCCAGGTCACATGTGAAGAACTGTTGTGCTTCTGTTCTCCTCTCCCCGCTCGAAGGTGGCTTCAGTTATCTCACGGCTCTCACTGTGTCAGCAGAACAGGACTGGGCCATGAGTTAAAGACCTCAGCGCTATTCATAGTCCCAAGCAGAGCTGCACATCTGGAGCTCATACTCTTTGTTGTATAATGATCTTAAATTAGCGGATGTTTAAAACCTGCCTTCACATAAATTTGCTTTGACGTACCTAAAATCCATTCATTAATTTCCTTTTGTCAGTGGTCGAAACAGCATTATGCTCAGCAAGACACAGACCACACTAGGCGTTTTACGAATAGCATGGGCGTCTCTCGGTGCTCACCATAACGAGACAGTTTGTCCAGGCTCTTCCTGCGGCTGTAGTGGAACTGTACCTCTGTGTTAAACTCCGGATCTTTCCCTGGTCTGTATTGTTCCTCCAGTACCTGTGACTCACCATGAAATATCAGCGCAAGCTGTCAACATTACGCAACGTACCACAGGCCTGGATCAGATCATCTCTGAATGAAGACAAGCCCCCGTGAGAGTATTCTGGTCTTTACAGCATATGATCAGAACCAGCCGTCATTAGTGGCAGAATGGGAAGAGGGAGGAATGACCGGATACCTGGACAGACTGTCGGCGGGAGTGGCTGGAGCACTCCTGTTCCATATCAAAATCCAGTGGGTGGACGGAAAGGAGACGCTTGGTTTTCCGCATCTGAAAACATTGAGAGTAACGACAGAGAAAGTTTATAGACATGGTCTCACCGAAAATGATAGAGATTAAGCTATTTTTGGACGATGGAATTCCTGGAGACAATGGAGATTACAGAGATATGACCACTGGATGTTATGGGGTGTCCACAGCTCCAAACCACCGGAGACTGCAGACAGACACTGGCGATTATGGGTGTGAAAAAGAGCTTCACGTCACACTGGAAAAATCCTACGACATACACCTTGTTTACAAACATTATCAAAAAAATGTAGGCAACACAAATAACAGGGACGCCCTAAAAAAAACCATAAAGCCCCCCCCCCCATCCTTAGTCAGTAATGTGATTACCCAGTGATGGTGGGGGGGCTCTGGCTCAGGTCTGTTTCCATCTGGGGATCCAAAGCCCTGCTCTATCGGACAGTAGACTGGGATTCATATACCAGTACTGCCTTCATAAGGGTGACATTAAACAAGGTCCATACGACCTGTAAATTGGGCCTTTTTTGTTTTGTCAGGATGGTTTTAATCTGCTTGATTTCTTCTGGTTTGCGTCTTGCTTACAGGTTCGTGGTCTTGGACACCTGGTGTTTTGTCTTTGGGTTCATGGTCATTGCTAGCAGTTGTCTAGTTTCCGGGTTTGTGAGGTTAGTCAGCAGGAGTTTGTCATTGAGTTTTGCCAAGCTCCCTGAATGCTGTGTCATGACAGTCATATTGTGTGTGTGTGTGCGTGTGTGGGTTATGTATATATTACATCATGGGGACCAAATCTCCCCACAATGTGATAAAAGCTGTTATTCTGATGTTGTGGGAGCCATTTTTCCGGTCTCGACAAGGGGAAACACAATTTTATAAAAAAAAATTTTAGGTCCCCACCAAGATCTGTGAATACAATCAAAAAACCATAAATGCCAAAGGTCTTGTATTTTGTTTGGTTACGTATGGTTAAGGTTATGGCTGGGTAGGGGTTAAGGTTGTCATTGTTGGGATTAGGGTTATGTCCATAGAAATGAATGGAGAGTGTCCCAAAACATTTACATGGAGTGTGTATGTGTATGTGTGTGTGTGTGTGTGTGTGTGTGTGTACGTAGACCTTTGCTTACCATCCTGTAGCGCTGACCATCTAATGCTTCATCCTCTTCATGACCATCATAATTGTCTGGGGACACAGGGAGAAGGTTTGTATGAAAGAAACACTACAGAGACTATATAAATGAGAGAGTCAACTTTATACCTGATTATAAAAACTTCATACAGCCCTTGCTACAGAGGATTCACTTAGCCCTAATTACAAAGGATTCACATGGCCCTGATCACAAAGGATTCAGATGGCCCTGATCACCGAGGACTCACATGGCCCTGATCACCGAGGATTCACATGGCCCTGATCACCGAGGATTCACATAGCCCGGATCACAAAGGATTCACATGGCCCTGATCACCGAGGACTCACATGGCCCTGATCACCGAGGACTCACATGGCCCTGATCACCGAGGACTCACATGGCCCTGATCACCGAGGACTCACATGGCCCTGATCACAAAGGATTCACATGGCCCTGATCTTAGAGGATTTATAAAGCTCTGATTATGGAGGATTCACATAGCCCTGATCACCAAAGATTCACACAGCCCTGATCATAGAGTAGTCACATAACCCTAATCATGGAAGATTCAAACAGCCCTGATCTCAGAGGATTCACATAGCACTGATCACAGAGGATTTATATGGCCCTGGGTATAGGGCAGTGATTGGCTCTGTGGGATAGGACCCACTTTGATTAGATGGTCACTGTTGAAACTCAGTGGCTCATGTCACCATTAGGCTGTTGAGTAAGGCTATTAACCCCAGCTGCTCCAGCGACATTACCAGATACTGCTCTCTCCTCAACTTGCTTTGGATAAAAGCCTCTTATAAATAAATGTATACTTAATGTACACACAGGCTCCTTTTGTGCCCACATCCCATACACATCTCCCTCTCTCTCTCCCTCTCTCCCTCCCTCTCTCTCTGTACTCACGGCGAATGTCAGGCGTGCTGTGTGTATCATCATCACGCGGACCTGTGGAGATTAAAATGGTGGTCAGCCCTTCCAACACAGACCAAACCAGAATATTTTGTGCCTGGTTTGGGAATTCTAGACTCAGCCGGTTACATTTTTATTCAACATAATGGCAGCTAATACCTGTGATCCAAATTTGCTATGATTTGGTATGGACAGTGATGGCATAGGGCTGGATTTTGATGGATTTCCATGGCAACTAATCTCTAGACACATACCTAGAGCTAATCTCTAGATCTCTAGAAGTCCAGCTGATCCTGGTTGGACTAATTGCTTTCTTAAGGTATTTATAGAGGCAGCTGAGTTGGTTTGGAAAAGTCTTGGGAGGGTCTTAGAGGGGCATTGCAGTTAGACCTGTGGTGAGTATGTTTTGTGGTTGTTGTGTTGCTGTTGAGTATTCTTTTTTTAATTGAGATTAAATGCATTCTGATTGCCCTTCTTAAAGGGGCCTTGTCCCTTTTCGTTTCATTATGCTGGCTCTCCAGTACCCTTGCTCCGCTTTTTACCTCTGCTCACAACCTGTAAAAAAATATGTAAAACCTACAAATGCAAGCTGGAGGCCTCCCTTGATGTTCCGGATAGGTAACAGCAATAATACAGCCACAGTGTGGGACGCCTCTGTCCCCAGACACTCTGTGGTTGAGCTCTGCTTGATAATAAGTAGCACTATGACCCAGTGAAAGTTTGACATCAGCGTTTCTACCTACAGAGGGCACTTTTGTCTCCTCCTGTGTACAAGTAGAGCACTGCAGGAGGATAAAGCAAAACCGCCTAAATCACGTGACCCTCGTGTAGCGTTTATGGATGCCCCCCCCCCTAAAATGGGCAGCTGGAGACTCCTATAATGTAGCCAGGCAATTAGTTGAAAGAGAGGGTGGCTAAGATATAAAAAAGACTGATAAGTTTATATTCGTTTCACTTTTGCTAAATGGCAGTGAGACACTGAAGGCTTGTGTAAGCGTTCAGGACTTTCACAAGGTAGGAGGGGAAGGTGGTAATGCAGTGGTCTGGATGAGGAGAATGGACTCACAGCATCTCGTTCTCAGGACCCCTGCAGGATTTTATCTCTGGATGTGCAGCCCCCCTCCCTGACACATACTCACCCCGACCCACCGGCAGGGAGATAGGTTGCCCTTGATTAAATCTGTCTGACCACCTCCTGCACCCACCCACCCAGGCAAAACTAACCAAAAGGGAGGTACTTCAAATTGCTTACTTGAGTAGAGGCAACCTCATACACCCCTGCAACCTTCCTGTCACATGAAATTCTTGTTTCTTAGGTGTCTTGGTGAATATTCATTAGTGGAAGACCAGTGAGTTGGCTGTCTTGGTGCTTATTAGCGGAATTACTATATATTTTTTTTTATTCTGCAGAAAACAAAAGATCAATCTATAGATCATGTTTAATGATGAATTAAGAACATGTTGCAGGCCGGAACTGTGAGACCACTTATAAACCATCCAGTGCAATCATCTCCATTATTTCTGTGGTTGTGTCTTTAGCTTTGGTGCTGCTAACTTTGAATATTAATAAAGTTTTAAAATCAGCTAGCAATATCGGTATGTCAACACTCAACAGATATGTAATGTGCATTTTTACATATTGTTTGTTCCATCTTCATAAAGACAGTATGCAATGCAAAATAAGAAAAAGAAATATATTTATAATGAATTGTGTGAGAAAATCACAATCTGGATTCTCTGTGGAAATTTCAGATTCATTTTTTTTTTTTCCCAGAAATGTGTGGCTGCTCATCGTTTTACATTTGTCACAGATATAACTAGGCACAAAAAAGTAACATTAACCAAATAAGTCTAAATTCCAAGGATACACACAGTGCACACAGGGGAACAGCTGCTGGCGCCCATGTCCCGTTCTTAGAACCATCTGGAACTGACTTTGCTCATCCTGTCCTTTGACACTTACCTCTCAGGTCCGTCAGTAAGCCCTGCTCCCCGTTCAGCCTCTGGGAGAGTGAGCGCATCACCTTAGCACTGCCGAATCTCTTGAAGCGGGAACGTACGTTGTTATGGAACCAGTCCAACGTGCCCGTCTTCAATACCCTATGCAAGCAGGAGGACGGCGCTCATGAGCATTTGTGACACGTTCCATGTGAGTCATGGCAGGAGAACCACAGCACCCAGGTCCTCTGGCTGACCAACATTGAGATACTGAGAGCCAAGCATCTCCCAAAGAGTTCTTGTGTGCAACAAATCCTAAATAAAAGCATGTGTGCATAAAAAAGGATTATATAGAGTACGGTGAGAAATGCACACAGATGACTGCCACCCATGAGGTTTTATAACATGAAGCTCCATGGTCCTTGTGGAAAAAAGCCTGTGTTTATGTTCTCGCCGTGGTTCTATAGACTCAAATGTGCCACAGACTAAATAGAGTGACAGATAATGGAAACTCAGGGTGGGAAAACAACAATATTTCAGACGTTGGGTTTATACATCAAGCAGACATTCATAAAGGTAATTGTCACAACAAAATTTGTCATTCCTGGTGGTTTTTTGGGCAAAGTTACTACAACAATGTTCCAGATCTATGTTTAGGGTACATATGTAGTTTTCTAAAAGGAGGATTTTTAGGTGACTGCAAAGATAACAGGCTGTAGGCTGCAGCCTGCCTTTCAGTGAAGTTCCTGCTGTTCCTTTCACTCTAAAAATGCATTCTGCTGGGAAGCCGAACAGTGCGGGGGCCATCTTGGCTCGCATTGGCTGTCAACAGCTGGGGGGGAAGCGGGCGCTTCAGAGAGGATTTTGGACTGAAGGGCCCTTCTCTGGGTTCCAGAGGTGACCCCTGGTCTAATGAAGCCATGCTTACGGGAAATGGAATCTCACGGGGCTAGCAAAGCTGCTGGACATCTCCTCAAAAAGCTAAGATGGAGACGTATGGCATGTCTGTGCAGGTCATGCTGTATGTATCGACCTACCATGGCTGCACAAGCTGCTTTCAAATTCGAATTTGCATGTTCTCCCTGTGTTCATGCTGATTTCCTCCAGGTATCCTTTTGCTGTCCAAGAGCATGCGGTTAGGTGAAACGATATCTTTAAGTTGCCTTTAGTATATGATTGCCCATACGACCCTGCCATGGACTCGAATCCCATCTAGAGTGTCCCTCACCTTGAGCCCAGTGCTTCCATTGGCACCCAAGACAGGATAAGTGGTTATGGATATTCAATGGATGGAATGGAAATTGTTTCTTAATCTTGTACTTGGGTACTTGGGTGACATAGTGCCTCACACATCCCCAGGTTGGATCCCTGTTTCTGGCTGTGTTTGTTGGTTTTATTAAAATACCCCAAAGCCATATCCTGTAGGTTTGTGTATCTTATGAGTGATCTTCTGTCATGGGTGCGACAGGTTGACCTGGTGCTGGGTGAAGGCTCGGAGACCTGACCTGGACATGCAGCAGGGATCGCAAACCCAGCTCCTCTCCTTCTTGATGTAGTGGCTGCAGTTTTTGCACATGTAGAGCTTGCAGTCTGCACATTGCCGGCGACTGTTCACAAGGAACTTGAAGGGTTGCAGGCAGTGAATGCAGTAGGACGCGGTCAAGCTGGGCTGGCCGGCCAGAAGCTCACGCTTGGAGTCCTCCTTTTCGATCTTGGTCTTCAGATCCCTGTCATGGCCGATACAGGAGTAGAAGGCAGCTTACACTCCTATAGTATAAAATACTAAACTGTTCAAATTCTCGCAACTTTCATTTAAAAAGAATTATTGCATTTCCCAAAGCAAGGTGCAATAAATACCTCATTTGGTTTTATGGTTGGAATCAAATTGAGGAATAAACAATCAAGCAAGAGGCCTGCTCCATATAGTAAAAAACTGAAGTAATATCACATTTTCTAGCTCTGGAAAAAGTCACTTTTCATTCATGGACTTATATAACAACATAGGATTAGTTGCATTTAAGAGCTGGATGTTTTTATTGAAGCAGTTGTGGATTATAGTGTAGTAAACCAAGGGGTCAGCATTAGGAATGGTGGACCATCTATGGCATAATAGTCAAATTACTTTCGGATGTCTTTCCTCTAGATGCCGGTAGAGGAGAAGGTCCTGAGGAAATGAACGGATTGCCAGCCCAGCTGCAATGGCGGGAGTTTTTTTGCCAAAAATCACAGAACAGCAGCACGACTCCTTAATCCAATAAGCAAGCTTCAGGCTTACATATCGGCTGCATGTTGATGTAGAAGATTCCCTGACCGGGTTATGGACTTAAGCTCTCCTGCATTTGTGTCCCTGGTTTGTTCTGGCATGAAAAACAAATGCACTGTGCATCCAAAATGAAATCTTGTGACTGTATAAATGACCCCCAGAAGGCTTTCCTGGGTTTTTGCGGACAATATCCCTTCCACAGCCTGGTTACAGCTTCCCTTATAATCACTGTCCACCAGTGATTTGGCCCTCCGCTATATAAGACAAGCTCAATGAGACCAAGTAAATATATGTCATAATTAAACAGTCAGGAGAGAACTGGAAACTCTTCTCCATGTTTCATGTGTACCTTACTTATGATTATAGTTACAGGCATCACGTTAATATCTAATAACTAGATTTATCCCTGTAAAGGAGCTAAACACTTTCAGATTGATTACAAAATATCTCCAGATATTGTGGTATAATTATTAACATTCAAAGAAATTTTTGTATATTTTATTTGTGTAGTTAATCGCAGCCACTAAGCAACCTAAAATTAAGCTGGTATCCAAGGATCGTAACTCATGACTTGTAGGTCCATTCATTAATGAAAAATTAAATCCTTTGTGAAATAATGCTCGCACGCAGAATCACTGAGAATGATCTGTATACAGGCAGAGCAAGACCTAGACTGAGTATCAGACCCCTGGACTTCAGGAAACACATCTGTGTTGTGTAAATGTGTGTCATGGAGAGCAAGATAGGGTAGGCAGAGAGAATTTCCCCACAGGGATCAATAAAGAATCATTTAATTTCTTTTCATTTCATTTAATTTCTTTTCATTTCATTTCACATCAGTCCAGTTGGTTATCAGAAAGGCTTTCTTGGCCTTATTTTGTTACTAGTGACTTTTATGACCAATTACATCCAGTTTCCTTTTTTCTTTTGTGACAGTGGTAACCAGTGTATATAACCGTACTTCATGCTTAGTAAGCATAGTCTCACATGCCTCCTTACTCCCAACATGCAGCAATAGACTCTCTGTATATACAATGGCACCTTGGTTTGCGAGCATAATTCGTTCCGGAAACGTGCTTGTAATCCAAAGCACTTGTATATCGAAGCAAATTTTCCCATTAGAAATAATGGAAACTCAGATGATTCGTTCCACAACTCAAAAATATTAATATAAAAGTGATTAATACAAAATATAAAGTAAAAATACATAAAAACAAATTAACCTGCACTTTACCTTTGAAAAGAATCGTGGATGGTGTGAGGGAGATGAGAGAGAGGAGAAGAGGAGGATTATTTTGTAGGACAACTTTTACTATAACTAATAGAGAGAAAAACCATCGCCTCAGCTGTGATCATGTGACACTAGGCAAAGCGTATACGTATTACTCGCTCGTTTATCAAGTTAAAATTTATTTAAAATTTTTGCTCATCTTGCAAAACACTCGCAAACCAAGTTACTCGCAATACAAGGTTTTACTGTATTTGACTAAAATGTAACACTGTTGTACTATGTATAATATTGAGATGATTTGAAAAATGATCCAGACCAGATAACACACAATTTTGTTTATATAGGATAAAACAAATCTTAACTAATGAGTTAATCTAAGCTGATAGGAGAACCCATGCCATTATGAGCATGATAATGCAGTTTCCTCATGATCTTCCACAAAAATACCAGCCTGAGAAGCCCAAGACAGCTGAAGAAGTTTCAGATTTCTTCAGCGATTCTTAGGACTTTTTACTCCGGCGCTGTGGAAAATGTTCTGAGCCAGAACATCACATCCTGGTACGGAAACAGCTGTGTACAGGACGTTAAGGGACTGCAGAGAGTGATTCGGGCAGCAGAGTGCTGCACCAGATCTTCTCTACCATCTCTGCGGGACATTTATACCAGGAGATACTGGAGCAGAGCAACCAGGATCATCAGAGACTCGTCTCATCCCAGCAGCTGTCTGTTTGAGCTGCTGAAATCAGGCAGACGCTTTAGGAGGATTACAGCAAAAACAGAGAGACTTGGGAACTCCTATCCTCACGGCGTAAGACTCCTTAATCAGGACATGCCACCACTACACCCTTAATATACACAACCCATGTAAACCCTTCCCAACTGTCACCAATCTGTAACTATATTTCCATCCACCTTTGCTGCTTATATTTATATTTATGTATCTTTATACTTATGTCACCTGCACTTTAAATACAAAGCTCTCTCATCATATGCACAAGTACAGTTTTTTAACTTTAAGATTATTTCTTATATTATACTGCTGTATTTCTCTTAGTATACATTTTTAGTTATTGTAACTTTTTAGTTTATTGATTTTTAACTGTTGACTCATTCTTAATTCTATTTTTGAATTGATTTGCACAGTCTAAGGGTCGTTCAGGGTACATTTCACTACATGTTGTACTTGTATAGCCATGTATGTGATGAATAAAGTATCTTGTATCTTGTATCTGTCTCACTCCCTCCAAGGAAACACTCAAAAGCTGAATCGTGTTTTACTGCCTTGAGCAGCCGTGGAATTTTCTGGTGTAAGTCATACAGCATAATAAAACCCAGTTTGTTGACATGCCCAGATCGTTAATGACCAGTTGGCTTCAGAAAAGAACAAATTATGAAAAAATAATATACATTTCTGTATTCATGTGTTCGCTATAATTTATATGGAAAATTTACAGTTTGTATTTGTTGTTGCTTATAGCAATATTATGAGTTCTTAAGTGTCTGGCCGTTGTTAGGTGTTTATATGTGCTTCTGCCCTGAGGTTTTCCATTTGCGGCTCACGCTTTTGGCGTCTCTCAGTTCTCTTTGCAGGGCTGTTGCTGATGGTGCTCAGCTTCTGTGAGCGAGCATCTGTGAGCGAGCATCTGTGAGCGGTCCAGCTTTGCCAAGGCCTTAGTGCTGTGGACGCCTGCCTTGTGACTGAGTCCTGGGCACACGGTGTACATCTGACTCACAATGGCAGGCTTTCTGCTTCTCTTCCCGAGGCCACAGTCACACAGCATGTCAATCTGCTCCACACGGCCCAAAGAGCGGCAAGCCAGCCTTGTCAGCCCTCCGCAACCCTCCCAGATAAGTGTAATATTAAGAATTAAACATCAAAAATGTCGGAACATTCATAGCATTGTGTTGTATGGAATATGCTTGCAAAATCACAAACTTGTCGGGAAAGTGCTGCAACTTTCCAGTGGAATAAAGAGCTGTGACCTCTGTAGGAGTTATAGTTTATGGTGTAGGAATTCCCATAGCTGACCATCTGACCATCCTACGAGTCTGTCCACATGAAGGATGTGAATTTATAAGCACTTCAAATAATTGCAGATTTTCCATCCTGGGAACAATCAGCAGCTCGTAATTTCCAGGTGTTGCTGTACATCTAAGCCAGTTTGTCCATCAGCTAAATAAAGGGAGTACTCACCCCAGTCTGTTCTCCTCTTTTTTCCTCAGGTCCATATCACGCTGTAGAACCTTCCACACATGCTTGGCCTCCTCATCTGTCAGCTTGGACAGGTCCAGTTTCTTGTTCATGGCAGTGATGGCTATGGTGCCGTCTTCACTTCAGCTCTGGCTCTTGGGCAGAGGCCCCGCTCTCCGGCTGTGGAACAGTAAAGTGTCGACTTAGAGGTAAAAGAGGGCCTGCTGTTTTGGAGATGGGATGTGGTGCCATTATCCAAGCTACTCTAATAAAACTATCAAGCTGACTTTTGTAAAGGGTCTCTTAGCAATGTAACAATACACAACACCAAGTCCTGATCAAAGATAGATATAACTCCTAGTGTCTCCATCCATCCATCCATCCATCCCAGAGTTGCCAGCTTTGGTCAGCTGGCTGGAGTGAGATTTCCAATTCAACACAAGTCTGCGCACTCATTTAAATGTATGTAACAGTTTTATTACCTTTGTAAATAGTAAACTACCCCAACGCTTTTGATGTAGCTAATTTTAGGTTTTGTAATGGAATAATATAGATTTGCTGTAAGATTTCTTGCATGAGCGTTAGAGTCTGAAAGTGTGATTGTCATGTCAGATGCATGAGAGCTGGCAACCCTGCCATACATCCATCCATCCATACATCCATCCATTCATCCATCCATACATCTCTGGTTGCTGTCTGTCATCCAGACCCCACACTGTGATTATCCAGTATCTACGGGTGACATATTACCACAGATGCAAACATCCATGGTTCAGCCAACAAACTTCACAATAGATATGATGTATTTTACAGCTGGCTTTTATTTTTAATGAAGCATTTCATTTTAAGATGTACTTAAAATATAGCGAATTTTGCAATAGTACAGCAGTGGACTTCCTCCACTGGGGGATACACTGGCAAACTTCATGCATATTTTGTTGAACCATGTTGGATTTCTCTCTCTGAATCATATAAGACTTGTTTTTCAGAATGTCTCCCTGTACAGTTTCTCTCCGTCTATTCAGTATCCTTTGTACCTATTAGAGAGGCTTTCCTGTACAATATACACATCACTGCCGCTTCATCCTACTTCACATTTAACTCATGTTTCCATAATAATAACCTGCAGACAGATTTTTCGGCCAGATCTCCAATCCTGTGTGGAAGTTATGTCATGGGTCATTAGCACTCAACAAATCATTATGGTCTGTTAGTCATTAATTAATTTACTTTTATTCAAGGCCCCACCACTGCCTGAATGTGTTTTGTGAGATAATCTGCTCTGCAATCAGCAGTTCAGTCATGTTATTTGTTACAACCCCTCTTGGTTTGTAGATGTTTGTAGTCCCCTGAACACGGCTTAAAGGCATATTGTAAAAAACCTCAGCTAAACTAGCGAGAGTCTTTATGATCACATGACTGTTCTTCGGCATGGTGTTCAATGATACATTTTCATAACAGAACAGAGATATCTTTGTCCAAGTAAATATATGCATGTTTTACCATATCTATTACATGTTTATCTAATTCTACTGTGTTGATTCTGTCGTGTTGAAGAAAACATTTCATAATGGTGAAACCCTGGGTCCTCCTGTGGATCTGAAAGTTTTCCTAATGTTTCCACACAAAAATAAGTTTTAGGGAGTTTCCATTCACACCAAAGCTTCTTCATTAATGCTCCATCTTCGACAGTAAGAAACATGATAGCGGACTGTCCTCATGATGACCAGATATGTGATTTTATCAGTATTTACTCTGCAAAGAACATGACTGTACTGATCATGCAGAATAAGTTACTATTACTGTTAATAAATACCAAAAGTATCCATATAAAAGAATATTTTTTAACATAACTAAAATCTTACAAAACATACACTAAAATATATATATTTTTCAATGTAACACTCTATATCTTGATGTCCTAAGGATTCTGGTATTTGAACACTATGAAAGTGGCACAGCCTATGTATCATGCTGTAATTTATCATTATAACAAATCAGTATAGTAATTAAATAAATGTAACAAATTTTAATTATGTAGTAGCTCTCCAAAAATAAAATATGAGATGGGATTAAAGTCCAGTATGTGACACTATTCTGTTAAACATACTTTACAGACACAGATACACGGTATCCAAAATATTATCATACGTATAATGGCACAAACAAGCAACATTACTGAACATTACTAACTTAACATTACTAACCTGACATATGAGGAGTTTCGGGTGCTGGGAGTTTTTGCTCAGAGCTGCGTACGGCTGTTTCGCTCAGTGCTGATGTGGTATGTTAAATTAACAATGTTAATCACATGCTCTCAGTCAATTTAGGGAGGAATTTGAAAGATCGCTGGTCTCTCCGCCTTCTCTGTTCATACCAAGACACACTGGGAATACATAAGTGATTTATATAGTTTTTGATATAAATGAGGCGGAAAAGCAGGGTTACTTAAAGGCCCAGATAAACCTGTATCGATGTCTCTGTGGTTTTCTTGTTTGTGTTCCTTCATAGTTAAAACAGAACATTAATGAATACTGCATATTAGTGTGTCTTATGCTTATATCTGGTCCTGTAAAAGTATTTGCCCATTTCTTTCCATAGAAACTATATAAAATCAATTTTGTATGCAATATACAACTTAATTGCTCTTCTCTGTGCTTATTTCTCATCATTCATGAACCCATCCATGCATTTTCTACACCCAGTTGTGCTGTGCATGGTCTCCTGGACGGCCCCCCAGCCACAGCTCAGCCTTGATATTCTGCCCATGAAAATCAGAAACAGGAGCAGAGACAACATGCATCACCGCCAAAGGCCAACACCCATCCTAAACAACTTCAGCTTTGTTCCAAGCATGTGGACACGACTCTTGCTCCATTCGTACAGGGACCGAAAGGCAGCACCTCCCACGCTTTCTGTGAAGGAAGTCCTGGCTGCTGCCCATCATAGCAATATAGACATTGAGCATAGCATCCAAAGCACTGACAGATTCTCATTCACCAGAAGTTTCCAACACTGCCTCCTGGTGGGAGTGCATATCCATCCATTCATCCATCCATCCATCCATTCATCCATCC